TCGTAACGAGGTAAAATTGGTACTGTAAACATTTTACCAAACTAAGCAAGGAAGTACATCTGACTGACCACACTACGCGCCATATAACCGCGGTATAGTGCCAGTACCTTACTAGCATGCACTGATATCACTTAGGCTGTGGCAGCCATGTACAGGCTGAATCTTAGCCTGCCAGCAAGCTATCCATTTCAAGTATATCATGAGGCAGCCGGCTGATCCTCTACCAGCCTGTAAACTTTTTCGTTTTTGTTCTTTGTTTACGGGTTACGGGTTAAAAGGGTTTCGTTTCGGCATCATCCTTTCAGTAAAAGGGTGTTCGTCGGATGGGCAAAAACAAACAAACAAACAAACAAAAAACGAACAGAACTAGGCTTGAGATTAAAGATACATAAAATATCAGCAAGTCCACAGCAACAAACCAATGAGTGGTGTCGGATCTCCCAGTTGTAGACCTGTGGATCAATACAATTAAACTTGTAGAAAAATATGAAACTGCAAACTGATCCTTACGACAAGGCGATGAAGAAGTAAACATAAGAATAAAACAACAAAAAAAAATTTAATGAAATTGCCCAATATTTTGGTTTGAAAACAAATCTTCTTCAGGGGCTAAAAAAATGAAAAGAAAACTAAAATTTCTTAACAAATAAGACTTAATTCTCATTTGGAAAACGAAGCTTTCGGAGCAAGGCACAAAGTGTCGAGAAGAAAAGGAGAGCTGCCGCAGTTACAAAAGGAGAGCTGCCGTTGTTCGTCTCATTACCTTCAGTGGTTTTCCTGAGCATTGGATAATATTTCAGCAGGTTTGTTAGACATTTGCTCGATTCTACATCAACTTTAAAAGTTAACTACAATAATTGATTGTTAATTATTAACAATCAAGGTCACAAATAACTCCTCTGCACCCTGTCATCAAGTCCTATAGTTGGTGCCTCTTTTAAAACCACTTTTTGGGTTGCAAGTTTAACATTTTCGTCATTTTCCATTGCTTTTAACCTCCCTATAGCAACCACTTGACCTTGACACACAGATTAATATCGTAATGGTGCAAATTTGATGATGAGTCTCACGCAAAAGCTCCCAAGATGAGTTTTGTTCGATCATAAATGTTATAGTGTTACATTTCTGATATCTGCTGTCCACCACTGAACAACTTAACTCAGTGACCACTTGGCACTGCTTGTATTGTTAATTAATCAGATACTGAGTGAAATGCAGGTATTTTGGACAGTTTTCTTACAGGACGTTCATCTGAGGCTAATTGCAACTCTCTCATGCAGTCAACTGGCCATTTGCATAAAATATGCCCTAAGAAGTAACTCAACCTCTGGCAATAAACTACAGCATTTGACTGGGCTGCAGACTGGCTGTAAACAGACACTAACTCATGGTCCAAGTAGAAACACTGCAATTTTATATCATCTCGGCTATGGAGATTAGACTGTAATACAAAGATGAGAGCTGGAAATTCCTTTTGGGCAGTCTTAGGTCAAAGGTTTGGGTTTGCAAATTGAACTTGGTTTTTATCCAGTCTCAAAAGTCCTGGAAGCAATATATTATTGTGATGAGTCCTACATCTTACTTTTGCAAGTTTCCTGCAGTCTAGAATTTCTGGAATTTTTCTAGCCTGCCTGGCCTTCCCCCCTCCCCTTCCCCTTTCAATGCTGGCCATGCAGGCTAGAATTTTTCCGGCTAAGACTCCAATTCTCAGTTTAGCAAGTTCTTTGCATTTCCCCTTATTTTACCATTTGCCACCTCTAATGATCGTACCTCTTTCTTAAAGAACCGTTGGTGCACTGAACAGTAGAAAATCATACATTGCTTTAGCCTGCGTAGCAAGCGTTTCCAGTCAAGTTATAGTGCCTTTTTTTGGCTCTCGTGCCAATTTTCTTGATGAACTTGCGCGGAAACGCTTGCTGCGCAGGCTAACATTGCTTAGAAAGGACCAACACAAACCAAGGCTCTGCTCTAAGAAACATTCCAGAGAACCCTTAAGCCTAGAATTTCTAGAAGTCCGTTTTGGTTTGGTCATTCATTAGTAAGGAGTTCACTGTGCAGTGGAGAAGAGAAGTGTGATGTCACATTACCATAACAGAAAAATTTCTGGAACTCAACAATCCTTCTTGACAGAGATGGCCATTTGCATTGTCGAACGATGGAAAAAAAGTATGGTTCACTATTTTGTTTCTGAGTGCAATCATGCACAGGAAAGTCATACATGTCAATTTTTTTGTATTTTTCTGTCATATTTGCAAGACCACAGCTTATTGAGATCCAAAAAATTTGCCACTATGGCAACATAACATAGCAAATTCTCCTCTCTATAAGTGCCCAACATAATGCATTGGTTACCTGGTTACCCAAAGGTAAGGGTTAGTTGCTATGGGCTGCTTGAGTGGACAGACTCATACACTCAGAACTGTCGGTGTCTTGTTTCATTCTCGTCTTTAATAACTCTCATAATCACTGCTGACAGTACAGATCAGTCTCTACCACTACTTCTATAAATAATAGCAGTCAGTGAAACTGAGAATATTCTTGTTGTTGTGATGAACATTTTTATGTCTCATGAATTGTTAAAAGCTGGTGAAAACAAATAGTGGAATTATAAGGTGTTACCATAATTTAATAACTTATATCTTAACATTTTAAATTATATTAAAGATTTTTTTTTATATATATTCACAATGTAACCTAATGTTTATTTACAACCTTCCCTTTTTGTAATATCCAAGTGACAGATGAATTCTAAATACTCTGCTAAATATTCCATAATTAAGACTTTCTCATAAATAAACTCTATCCTTTCCAGATAAAAGTTGAAATTTCTCTGACTTAAGCTACAAACTCTTCATTTAAAGTGACCGAAAAAATTGAAGAAATTCACCCACAAAAATACATCAAGCCAAAATAAACTTGTATCGGGTTTATACGTGTACCTTTCACGTTGTAAGCCAATATAATTTACAATAATTTATCAGGGTGAAAATGGCCATGGTTTTGGAATTCTCAAAAACTTTGGGGTCAAAAACAACAAAATCTCACCAACGTCATTCATATTTCTATGTGTCTGACACATTCCCCAGGACACAAGAACACAGTTGCTATTGAAAACCCCCCAAAATAGTTCATTCTTGTGGTGTCAATAGACTGTCATCTGCCGTCGTTAATTGATTATCCCTTACCGACCACAAATTCCCCAAGGATTGATTTAGCACTATACCAAATGCTCTAGGAAGCCAAGACCATCTTGCCGTAAAACTGTACAATCCAATCTGAGAGCCGTCAACAGCGATCGCTGGTGTAGAAAAAACCCCAGTACATTTCAAAACTTTCTTCATCGCAACCAATAAAAAAGAAAGATGAAAAAGAAGGCGACAGCTGTTTCGTGTGCAGACAACAACAAAGTTCCCAGTGGGACAAACCTTGTATTAAAAGAAATCTGCTCAAAATTCCCCCATTCACACACAAATTATATCTTGTAAGCCCAGTTTCACGCTACATTTTCGAGTTCTTGAGGCACTGAGTGCTTGGGGGTCGTAGGATGTTGCGTTACTATGTGATGTCGTAGGCCACTTGGGCTTTTGTAGCTTTTCCCGCAATGGCATTTGTGAGCTTTTATTTTGGGTCTGTTTGTGTCCTTTCGATGTCCATATTTCGCATGATATTTAATCCCGTTAACATTCTTGTATCGCTTTCCGCAACCAGGAACCGGACAAATATATCGCTTTCCTTCGCCATCGTCCGTTGCCACAGCATTCAACACCAGGTCGCTTGCGAAGCTATCTGAAGTCCAAGAATCGTCGCTGTTGTCGCTCAAATTTCCATCATCATCTCCCCCGTCAAGTACATCGGAGTTACTAATTGTTTGTAGGGTGATTTTAGGAGGAGTAGAGCGTTTCTTCTTAATAACACCGTGGTCGGGGCTCGGCGTTGAAGGTTCTGTAACGCTCAAAACTGGCTCCTTCTGTTTTATGGCATTGCGTGCTGCATCGGTGAAGAAACAGTTGATGTAGGAAAGCGGTAAGGCCGCAGGTTGAGCCGCTTCCTGTTTCTCGAGAACTCTTGGGTCCTTCTCTATGTGCACTACTTCGATATGGTCGATTAAGTCTAATAAAGATGTACACTGCTTGCCACAACCGTGCCATAAACAGGAGTAGCGATAAAACGCGGCCATTTTCGCCTGCTCGCATCTGTTTCGACAGGTCGCGCCATTACATCATCGCGAGCTTTTTCAAACTTTTGACGTCACGTCAGTCATTGCGCAATCAGGTGCTGTCCAGATGTTTCCAGCAACACGTGGTTTGCATGATCACGCGCACGTGGTCCAATTTTTTTGGAAAATATTCTGTTATTTTCATTGTTTCTTTCTGTGTATGTCTTCAGTTAATCGAATATTGGTTCATTGAAAGTGAGATAAAAGAAAATTAAACTACCACGATTTCTGACTGTTTCAGGAGATAATCCTTACATGGCCCCCAATTACCCTCAGAGATCTCGGACTAAATTTTAAAACCGTGGCCCGGGTTTTGTTTTAGACGTTTTGAAGAAGTTTCAACTGGTAAAAGGAAATGTGTTAAAAGGGTACTTTTTAAGAAGTCAGAAAAAGATAACATGACCTTAAGCGACACCAAGAGGCCATTGTTGAACAAAACTCGTGGTTTCTTGAATGGATTTGTTTTGCCGTCCCATTGAAATTTGGGCTGGGTTTTCGTGTTCCGACAGGTGTAAGCCTAGTGGGGGAGTGACAAGGAACTGTCCCTATTTTCTCTTTGTCTTTTGTTCTCTCTTCATGTTTATGAAGTGATGATGTACGAGTGTTTTCTTCAACGGCGTCTATTTTATTGTAACAGTTTTCTTTTTTTGTTTTCAAGGGTCGATCGGGACGCGTGACGGTGACCTCTTTTCCTAATAATCTTCTTAACGAGTGCATTAAGGATTCTCGCAGTGTACTGAATTATGGCAAGGAATGCCTGACTGAAGTTCAAGTCCATTTTGCTGAGTTTTGCAAATTCCTCTTGACTTGCTTTGAAACTTTACTATTATCCAAGAACTTGAATCAGTTTAATTAGAACAGATACAACTTTAGGGTGTGTAAACAAACGGCAACCGCAAAACGAGTTTGGTTTTCTTTTGCGGTTGTTTGTTTACACACCCTAAAGTTGCATCTGTTCTAATTAAACTGATTCAAGTTCCTCCCAAGTGAGATTATAGTGATTTTGTCATTTTAGAACAACTTAGCTCCTTCTAGATGTAAGTGTCTCCTTAACAATGCTGCTCGCTGCTAGTGTTATCAAGATGACAGGATTTCATTCTGAGGTTGTAGACATCGAGAAGTCTATTTCTCAGTTCACCGCTAGTTTCCTCTGAATTTGTGGGGTCTTTGTGTTAAAGTAGAAATCCAGGGTCACGGATAGTGTCTTGAAGACGGCACATTTTTTGTGAAATTGTAGACACAGTTAATTAATTCAAGGGCGTCGTCGTCCTCCTGATCCTTGTTTACAGCGATTGTAGACTACGAGTAGTCCCCCATTTTTCCTCAGGGATAGTAGGGCGAGCGAAACGCGAGCGCGCGTGAAAATCACCCCACGCGAGAAAAGGCGACACGCGGGGGGAGAGAGAGAAAAATCGCCTTAGAACCCATCCTCGTCCCCAGGGCTTTTCCCTTTTTTAAGGGAAAAGCCCTGGGGACGAGGATGCTTAGAACCCCCACCCTTCCTACTCCTTGCTCTCAACAACTCCGACCACCCTGTCCTCCCCCATCTTCAAGGGAAATTTCTTACAGTAAAAGGTCGTTTCGCCCGAAGTCACAGTTGTTTCGCCTGGAATTAAGTCGATAGGCCATTTGCACTAAGAGGCATGTGACATCGTTTTTATGAAAATGAAAGTTATATGATTTTGCCTTCGAAAAACGATTAGTGGGTCATATCGTAAACAAAATAATGGTGATTTGGTTTTTCAAACCCGAACCATTTTCTTAAAATGAATAAGTTCGTAAATGGTCACGTGACCAAAATGTGATTTTTAAAATTATGAATTACCTCTCTCTGAACACAAATTTTGCACTTAAACTTCAAGGAAAATGTTGAAAAGATGATGTGATAACGTTTACAGCACATCTGAGCGTTACTATGAAACGTTGAACAAGATATAAGCAAAAAGTAGTTTTGGCCGCCATGTTGGAGGGCAAAAGCATGCCCTCCAACATGGCGGCCAATACAAATCATACTACTTTGCTGAAAAATCAAAGTGCCATAAAATATCTCCCTTAAGTGCGTTTCCTCTCAAATTTCGGGTGTAAGATAATTTTTGTGTGCTCTAACAATTTTTGGCATCAGCAAGATTCCAACTCATTGTTTAAAAGAAGCATTAGTCAGGTGACCTCTTAGTGCAAGTGGCCTATTCGCCCGATGTTTATTTGTCGTTCTGAAATCCTGGAATAAGGAAAGGAATAAGCGTGAAACAAAAGTGACTATGGATGTGGATCAACAACCTTTTTTCAGTGAAAACTTCACACAAAATATATTAAAGATCAACGAAGCGATCGTTGTATTGTGATCGCTGACTTACATTTAGACCTCAGTTTTATGTAAAGTGTTTTAGTATCTCGCATGTAATTATCGAGATCGCTAAGACCTGTCAGATCGCTGGGCCCTTTTTTAGCAATCGCAGCAATAGTATCCAAGCTGAACTAAAAATCATAATTTCGTGTTGTAGAGTATCGTTCGGGGTGTAGCCAGCCCGCAGACCTGGAGGCCCAAGCCTTCAAATTTTTGGTTGTATCACTCTATCGCTTGTAATGAATTATGCCAGGAGCCTATGATTATGCCTTGCTGGGGTGAGCTAAATAGCTTAAGAACTCCAAGTGTTGGTAAGGTCAGTACATACTAGCAATGCGTGCAATTTACAGGATATGTGGAAATGAAAGACAGCCAGGCTACAACTAGTCGAAAAGCTGGCTACGCCCCTGTCGTTTGTCATCGGGCAAATCGACTTCAGTCCGGGCGAAACGACCACATTTCGTTCTTACTCCAGGGATATTTTACCTTCCCTTTTGAGCCCTTTAAGGGTCACATATAACTTCTTGCAAGAAATTAAACCCTGAAAAATTAAAGGTACTGCAGTCAAAAAGGTCCACTGAGCTAATAAGCCAACTGGTAGATGCATGTTTGTGAGAATCAGTCAATCATTAATCCATCATTCTTGTGTAGTAGATGGTATAAAAATGAATACTGAAGCAAAAAGAAATGCATACACAGTTCCACATTAATTATCATGTATTTGCTTAACTGCAGGATTCAGTGGCAGATCCGGGGGAGGGGGCCCTCTGTATTTTTAAACCAAACTGAGGCCCCAGAGGAGACCGCTTCCCCCCCTCCCGTCTTATCTCAAGATCTGGATCCGCCAATGGGATTATTAATTTTACAGTGGAATCCCGATTTTATAATCTTCTTCAGGGAAATGGAAACCGGTTTGAACAATCAGGAGATAAGAAACAATAATTTAACGGTGGCATGGAACCACACCTGTTTTACCATGGTACTGTTTTATAAGAACCAGAGCCAACGACATTAACAGTATAGCACTCTTAGGCCCGGTTCAGACGCCAAACTTTTCATGAACCGAACCCAATTCGAATTAGGGCTGACCCACATTTTTAAGACGCCGATCTTAATTCCAGCCGAGCTAAATTGAAGGGGAGAAAAATATTCATTTTTGTCAAACTGCTCAAAATAATAATTTATGCATTTGTTTTGGTACATGAAAAGTTTGGCATCTGAGTCAAAGCCGTTCCAAAGTCGATCCAGAGTCAAAATTCCCGGCCGGTTAGGTGAAAGGAATGGCTGCGCCGTTCCAAATTGAAACAGGCGTTTCTAATTGATTCAGACGCCGAAGTTTTCATGTTCAAAAGTTTGGTGTCTGAACTGGGCTCACTTTCTCTGTACTCTATAACTTAAAGGAACTGCAAAATTTATTAATATGCTAAGACAAGAGCTTCACAAGACCCTTGATTGTGTAACAACGGCATTGAGACTTTTTGTGACCTAAATGAAATCCGGACGTTTCGTACCCACGGACGTTTGGTACCCAAACAATTCGTACGAACAGTAAGAACCTAAATGACACATTTGTCACTTGTTTTGTAATAAAAACTACATGAACACACCTTCCCTGAAACTTTTTTAAAGCTTATCCAGGAATGGATAAAGACTAGTTTTTGTTGGTTCTAGCCTGCAAAAACAGAATTTGAATCATGATAAAAAATTCAAAGCATTTTCTATTTGCTGACCACTTTATTATTAAATGTGGGACACCTAGACAGCACTCCAAGCTGCAACTGTTTTGGCCGCTGTGGCAAGTAGAAGGATATTTATTTTTACAGCGAAGCTAGCTACCAATTCAGCGATTTATGTTTGGCATCATGTACTAATTAAGCCATGGTGTTTTTATTTGTGTTTATGGTCTTTCTAGCTTGAAGTGAGATAAATATTTGCATGATATATCTAATACACCCTGGTTGCCAGGGAATTATCATATTTATTCCATTAACCACCCTGGGCACTTATTAAATTTTTGGACCTTGCATTGACCTTGAGAGTGGGCACTTATTAAATTTTCACCATTTTCAGCAAGTGCAGTAGGTTTATTTTGCAACAAAACATTTGGTAATAAGAAAATGCGAAGCTTATTCAAGGCTGGGCGCTTATTAACTTTTTCTACCTTTAGGATGGGCGCTTATTCGAGGTGGGTGCTAATTGGAGGTTGGGTGTCTATTCGAATAAATACGGTAAGCCCTGAGCCACTTTTGATTTTAAGGTTAAAAGAGTGCAAGCTATCCACTAAAATGTGTAGAACGGATCCTAGTGCGATGTTCTCAACATCAATGTCTGCAACAATTCTGTTATATATGGTACTTGTTTGGAGAAGTATATTTAGGGATTGTCAGCATGATAAGTGTTACATACAGTGTACCATCTTATTCCAACCTTTAAGGAAGAAGTTGGGGAACAAGAGCTTGGTGTTAAAAATCCTTGTTTTTCAGCAGGGTCTTTGACTCTTCGCTGGTCCTCAGTCTCTATTATTGGATATACTGTAGGATGCGACTAAAGGGTATTGTTTTTTAATCATCTCACTTTCTTACTAGGCTTCCTGCACAAGGCCTCTACTTTGGGGATCCATTTCAAAGTAAAGCATTCTAAATTTCCTTGCTGCCAGGAAGGAAAATAAACCCCACTTGAAGGTCATAAAATTCCAAACGCACACGATGTAATTTCGATCTGTATGAATTCCTGTCAAAAATGAGAAACAACAGTGTCACTCCCAGCAGAAGCATGTACAATGGTATTTCCCACTAAATTAACCCTTTAAACCCTAATACCAAAATTTAAATTTGCATTTGTTGCCCTTTTTTGCTTTCTATGGAAGTGGTGAAGGGAAATTGTTTAAAATATTAAGGAAATTCATCTCGAAAAATCATTTCCTTCATTCTCATTACTAGTTTCTTTTACATGAACAGTGTATGAAGCATTGATATTGATTCACCCTTTGGGCTTAAAATGAAAAGCCAGCTTCACAATATCACAGCTTTACCTTGATGAATTTCCAAAAGAAGGAATCTTGGTTATATATAGTTTAGCTACAAACTCTTGGAAATATAGAAGTTTGAATAATTTCATGCCTTGAGTAAGAGAGAACCTTGGGAATGAGGTTGCTTGCATGACTGAAAATCAATTTGCCAAAATCTCCTTCCACTGCATAACACCTCTCCTCGAAGGTGGCAAATTTTTATATGCAAACTGCTCATAGACTACTTCACACTTTGTACTGACAAGGGAAAGGCATGCTTCTGACAAGTTGTTTCTGCCCAACTTTAGATACTGACACCCTGTGGAGGAATAAGTTAGGGATTCCAACTACTTTCACACGAGGGCTATTTCATTAAAATTTGTACCCCCCCTATCCCCTGGTTAAGGACTTCTTACCTCCGAGCTTAGATCAAATAAAAATTACATTCATCCCTGAAGAGCTTCCATACAATATGGGTCTACCAAGCCCTACGATTTCAAATCCCATGAATAACAATATTTTTCAGTTCCGTGCCCGAGATCATGGAAACCCATCTGTAACGATTTTTTGGTTCCGCGTAAATTCATAGTAACCCACTTTTATTTCTTTTAATGAACAGAGACAAGTTGTTAAACGTACTTTAAAATTAAAGAACGTCAGTGTGTACTATTATTTACGAAAAACTTCAATGTCTATATTAAAGTGTGAGAGGAAGGTCAATTTAAGTGTTAAATGTGTGTGCATTAAAGTGTCTAAAACTCCAGACTCCTCTTCGATGCAACTGAAGAAGTATGCTCACTTGAAATGTTCACTAAAGATCTTGTGTTTTCATAGTTAAAGAGATTTGGGCCTCATCATCAGTTACAATAGTGAATTCGCCGCCAAAAGATCACCTTCTAAATGTTTTTAAACTTTTGGAGACATATTTTTTTTTCTTGGCACTGGAAGCCATAACAATCGCTGTTGTTAACTGTAAAACATCTTTCATGTGAGAGTCATCAGTAATGTGCAATGCACTTTGGGAACAATTCAAGATGACAGATGATAGAATAACGGTATTGTTTTAATTTCGTTTATAAGCCGAGTCATAACCAAAGAATTGCTCTACTTGTTAAGAATATGAGTGGTATATCGCCTGAATATATCCGGATAATGTCCCTGGGAAACTATTTTTTGGCTCCGTTATTTTAAGATCATGGTAATGACATGGTACCGGAAATGATCGTTACATGTACTTTGAAATCCTAGGGCTTGGGTCTACTCCCTAAAGAATAAGGGTCCACCCCTGAAGAATTTCCTAAAAAGTAAGATGGAATCCACCATGAAATTGAGTAATTTTAAATTTAATGAGGACAAAAACCTTGTACCAGAAAAATTTAAAGAATATTGCATTATTTTTTACCTTTTTCAAGCACTAAAGGTGTCATAAATCATCTCTAGTAATACCAAAGAAAATTTCTCATGGAAGTCTGAGAAAATGAGTGTCAAATTTGACAAGAATTGTGATTACACAGGTAAAATTCTGAAAATTTCAGGTGTAAGATGTAATTTTGTGAAAATTGACATTCACTTTCTCGGGCTCCCATAAGAAATTTTTTTTTTGGTGTTACTACAGATGATTTATTACAGCTTTAGCCCTTGAAAAATGTAAGAAAGAATGCAATAATATGCTTTAAATTATTCTGGTACAAGACTTTTGTCCACTAAAAATCAAAATTACTCAATGTCCTGGTGGATTCTGTCTTAAAGCTTTGTACAGTACCGCAAATGATCCCCATTGTTGACTGCAAATGATCATGTGAAAAGTAGAGGAATGGAATGGGTTTTAGGCATGGATGGAAAATGGTGCTGTCAACTTGAACAATGGGTAAAACAATGAAATGAACTGAATTAAAATGATAAATAACCATTCTGATTCTTTAGGAAATTGTTTCTCCTTTCTATTTAGCAATTGATGTTGAACTTTGCTGTGAAAATTTAAGACAGGAGTTTAAGGAGGTCAAGGCAGGAAACTTGTCTTTTATTTTAATGCTGAGGAATGCAGAAATATGACCCCAATTTGTCGCGTTGTACAGGTTTCCGGTAATGTCAAAATACTAGCAGCTACAGCTAGTGAAAATGTCATGACTTAGAGCTATAAGTAAGTTATTGGTGCGAGTGTGTGTATTCATTTCTTGTGCCTTTGCTGCTGGAGACAGCGACAAAGATACAAAAACAGGGAATGAGAAACAGAGGAACAAGTAAGCGTAATTTTTTGTGCCTATGTCAGAATTCTTCAAAGAGGGGTCACACTAGAGCACATTTTTATTTGGGGTCAGTTTCAGAGACTTTTGTAGTCACAAAAAATATCATCTTCCTAAGTTGATACTGAGTATTCCATACATGTACACTGGATTTGAGAAATTTCTTCTTGAAAGATATCATTTCTAATTTAAGTACAGTATGTTGGAGTTTCGTTCAGTTCAGCTTACTGTCAAACTCAGAAAACCGTGAACACCTGAAAATTTTCAGGAATGTTGATTGTGTACTGGCGAATCACAATAAAGTTCAGGATACGCGAGCAAACCTCAAAACCACAAACTAATTACTGTTGCTATTTGTGGTTTAGTTATCTTACGCCTTATTGATCAATTTCTCGCAACACAATAACATTCTATAAATATTTCTGGTGTTCCAGTTTTGTGAGTTCCACAGTAAATGCTTACCAGTAATTAAGCAATATGACACTGCATTGCTTTTCAAGTGCTATTTTTTTTTCAATGATACTTTTTAATTTTATGTCTTGTTTACATCCATTATTATTTGTGTTTCATTGGATGCTGTGACAAAGTTTTGAATGTAGTTTTACAGTTTAATACTTTCTTTTTTCCAACTATTTGTGAAGCCAAATTTATTGCATTTAATAGTTTTTGCTGTGATAATAAACTAGACATGATGATCCAGTAACTTGAGTCCAAGCAGGAGCGTAACTGGGATTTTTTCAGAGGTACGCACAATTCTCCAAATCGTTTTGCCTCCCCACCCCCTCCCAAAAAAAACTTCCTTGATTAAAGATTTGTTTATGTTGTAAGCCTAAGAATTTTTTCCTGCATACAAAATGACATTAGCAACTTATAAAATACTTTGTTACGAGATGGGTCTATTGACTGATGCACAACAAGGCTACATACTTTTCTGGATTCGTCAGGAATCCCAATAATTTTGTTACCGGGTTTTTTTGTCGTTTTTAAGTAGATGCAATGCATGAAACCAAATTGAAAAGGTTCTGTTTTGGTCAAGTCTCTATAGAGTTTGAATCTGAAATCTGAAGTGAATCTGATGGCTTGCAAATTTGCAATGTTCTGTTGTGCGAGCCCCGGGGCTTATTTTCGAAATTTTACGGTATGTCATTCAAGATTCTCTCCATTAATGAATTACCTCATTTCCCTGGAAACCGACATTTGGGTGGAGAGGAAAAAATCTGTTGTTTTAGGAAAAAAATATATTTCAAAGAAATAACCAGAGTTGACTAAATTGAGGCAAACTGTGCTCTTAAAATAAATATTCTTAGATATTTTGCTTTCTTTTTAGAATTAACTTTTTATTTTATATTATTTATTCATTTTATATATTTTTTGTGCAAAACTTTTTCAGGAACACACTTGCGTACAGTGGGTATGGGTAGCTACGCCACTGCCAAGCCATTTTGACTTTCCTCTCGCGATCATTAATTTGCAGTCAACAATGGGGTTAATTCACTGTAAAGGATCATTTACGATCCATTTTGGGGATCAATTGTGGCCTGGGGATCATTTGCGGTACTGTACAGCTTCACCCCCCAAAAATTACATATTTTTTAACTCTACCTCTAAAGAAATCCTGAATTTTTATAAAATACCCCTGAACAATTCCATTAGTCTTCAACCGGGGGTGGGGCGGGGGGGGGGGGGCAAGGAAATAAAATATTAACGAAACTTCACCGCAAAAGGAAAATATAATACGCTAAAAAAAACGCCTACCACCCTGCAACGCACACCCACGTCNTGGAATGATTCTTTCTATATCTCGGCGAACCGCAAAATGCAAGTGTAGGAAAACAACCGCAAACAGTGCAGAGACTCCAGCCCAAGCGGCGGCATTGTAGTTGTGAAACACTTTGGCGAACGCAATGCAACCAGCGATTCCCACGGCTACTCCTACAAACGCCCCAATGATCCTCATTATCAGTCTATATTTTAGGTAACCTCTCAATGCTGCCTTTAGACGTTCTCCCATTGTTACAAGGCTGTTGAGATCAGCTGAAGACCTCCAAACAGAAATTTCGTGTTCGTGACTTTCAGATAGTGGTATTTCAGCGGCTGTACATGACGTACCTACTATACCGCTGCTCATTGAAAGCGCGCCAGTCCGCCATTTTATTTCGTCCCTTCGTCTACTCATCGTGTTAATTTTATATTTAAAATGTTGATGATTTAAAATTAGTTTTTCGGTAGGAAAACATGCGATAACATCTGCGGAAAATACAATCAACTTTCTTGGTTTTGGAAGGTAGGTGTGCTGTTCTTGTTTAAGGAAATACCACTGTCGCTGTCAGCTCTGACAGCCACATGCATTCATGGTCCGTGCATGCACATTTGAAGAATTACTTGCTGTTCTCTGTTGATATTTCATAGCTTACAGATCAGACTAGTTCAACTGAAAATGAATGCTTTGTTAACAAAAACTATGTACAGAGAAATATAGCGAGTGCTTTGGCAAGAATAGATCTAATCTTCTTAAAATACTTATGGTAAGGACACAGAAAAATAATGGAAGTGCACTTGTTAAGTGCTAGATTTCCCTTGCCATACCTAAGGGAGCTAACTGGTCTGCAAGATATTAATTTCAATGATGTTTCCAATGCACGATGAGGGAAATTTAGCTCTTCACAAATAAGAGTTTTAATATCTAATGATTGCAATTTGACCTCTGTATCTTGTATGTTTTGTCTCCCAATGAAGGTTCCAGGGGAATTTTCCCCTAGTATCTTTTCATAATTTAAGTGTACAAGTGCACATGAATAAGATGAAATTTGAAAGAAACAAATCACTAGAGTATTATCACATGATCTGTATAGGGAAAACAAATCCAAGAGGTCTATTGTATTTAACCAAATGTTTTTACTGCTGGAAGCTAGCCTAGTTGAACCCCTTTAATGTGGAAATGTTTTATGGATGATGCCCTAGTATCCATATTAAGCGGATCATGTTGTTTAAGCATGGCTCGTTCCTTCTTGGAAAGGTCTTGAATTTTAGTAGTTGTCTTGAAAAGTCCTTGAATTCGGTTAAGGTCCTTGAAAAGTACTTGGTTTCTTTATTAGGTCTTGAAATTCAGTACGTTGTCTTTCCTTCCTTGTCTTGCCTTCCATTGTAAGACCTTGTAACACAATAACTCACACATTTTGTTATATTTATAATCGCCTATTGCATGCTAAATTGAACCTGGGTGTTCTGTGATTTGGCTTGCTTGGGAAAATGGATGTATTACTTAAATGTAATTTCCTTTGTAGGTAAGGTGAATTGTAGAACATTGGTTTGGTTGACTTTTGTAGCAGCAAATGGGAAGAGATAGCAAGTAAGTTGAAATCTATGGAATTTAGTAACTGAAATGCGACTCTATTTTCCCCAGTAATAATATTACCAGTTATAGCTATCGCTAAGTGCCAACGAGCAAAGATTTTTTTCTCCTTGGCAACTAAAAATTCTGGTTTAGTCGCCACTTTGGCGACCAGATTTCTCTATGATATAGATTTAAATCAAAAGAGTAAAGTTAAAACAAACATTTCATCTTTTTCTTGCTTTGCTTTCGTTAACAAAATGTGCCAAATCGCATAAACAAAGCCGGTTTATCTCCAAATTTATACCGACTTCTGTCCGCGATATTTTCAAAAAATCAAATCTGATATATCGCACTATACTACAGGGCTTCTGGTAGGTCACGGAAGTAAAATTTCACGGGATTTTCAGAGACAGATTTGGCAGAAATTTTCGTGGCTAACTTTGATAAAAAACAATTGGTAAAAACAGCCGATTTCATGGGAATTTTCTGGGCAAATTTCGCTAGAAATTGATGGATTTTGCGCTGATTTGATGAGCGTGTTTAATGTTTTTAACAGAGATAATCTAACATATTCTGACAACAAAGCGCTCGAGAAATGAGCCAATGGCAAAGCTTTTAACATCATGACTAGTGTCCAGTTTTTCACAACATAATTTACGCCTGGTAATTCTGGGACATCGTTCGCGCATTGTGGTGATGAAGTTTCAAGGTAAATTTGCAAGTTTTCGGCAATTAAACAGCCCCAATAGCCGAGATAAGTTTCAAATATGTTGTATCGACAAGTACTTGATAAGATTTCTCGCGAATTTTGCGGTATTTTGCACATTATTGTGAATTTCACGGGATTTTGTGGGTTTACCTGAAATTCGCACATGTGGGAGCTGTTGGCTGGGAACCACAGGGCAGTTCTCACACGACAGCGCGGGGAAGGCAGATCATGGGTTTGTTGTATGTGTGCCCCTTGCTTTTATTTTTTTGTCAAAAATAGTGAACTAAACTGTTCTACTGCATAAAGAATTTGAAATCCCGACTTTACGCAGCAAATTTTTCGAGATATTGAAGTTCGTGTTTTTGTCCGAAGTTGCACACAAGTCATTTTGCATAAAATTTACTGGTCTTATAAGCAAACTTTAAATCCTCGAAAAATCACATTAGAGTCTGCAAATATTCAATGTACAGACTTATATTTGATCTCTTTTTAAAGCTAAAAAAATTTACGGTGCGCCTATGAAGCCTTCCGAATTATTTTGCTTCAAAGACACAAAAAATTTTGCTGCATTATTTTTCTTAGCGGTATGCAATAAAAAATTCCAGCGGGCAGATGTGACAGATATTGCATAGGGCGGAAATCATCCACCCGACAATTGGTTGAAGAGGGGATGAGCACGGGACTCACAAACATGCTCACGGCTCATGGATTCTCTGATCTGTATCACTTGTTTGCTTGAAAACAATGCATTCTCTGTTCTGCATTACATCATGGTTGCCTTACATTACTCTATGCTCCATCGATTTGAGATTTTTTCTGCCCCTGGAACAATCGCGCACGGCTCTATTAGGCTGCCGCCTCGCAGCCTCGTGAAGATGTGAGGCTGCTCATTGGCAATTAGAAGGTCAATATGACCATCTAGCAGTGTTGACACCATAATTAAGTTGTTGTCTGATTCAATGTCTGTAGAGTTATTTCTGACAAAGCTTCTTTCATTTAAGAACGGGATTCTTTTAATAAAAGAAACTTTGATAGAGATGTGATGGTGAATTTTTGAGCCTGGTGAATACATAAGAAACATAATTTTTCAGTCAGTGACACAGATGAAAATAATAAACAATAGACAGTAGATGCAACTGAATTTTTTATATGCCTATCATAATAATAACAATAATAACAGTAATAATAAGGTAACAACTTAATTATTATGTTGTTATCTTCTATTAGGCGAAAGAAGAGGTCTCGTTCCAGATCAAAGAGTAGAGAGAGAAGTCGGAGATCACGCAGTCGAGAAAGAAATAAGGAACGCAAGAGATCTCGCAGTAGAAGTGTTGAAAAGGGAAAAGACAAAACTAGCAAGAGACCAAGAGAANGAAAACAATGCATTCTCTGTTCTGCATTACATCATGGTTGCCTTACATTACTCTATGCTCCATCGATTTGAGATTTTTTCTGCCCCTGGAACAATCGCGCACGGCTCTATTAGGCTGCCGCCTCGCAGCCTCGTGAAGATGTGAGGCTGCTCATTGGCAATTAGAAGGTCAATATGACCATCTAGCGGTGTTGACACCATAATTAAGTTGTTGTCTGATTCAATGTCTGTAGAGTTATTTCTGACAAAGCTTCTTTCATTTAAGAACGGGATTCTTTTAATAAAAGAAACTTTGATAGAGATGTGATGGTGAATTTTTGAGCCTGGTGAATACATAAGAAACATAATTTTTCAGTCAGTGACACAGATGAAAATAATAAACAATAGACAGTAGATGCAACTGAATTTTTTATATGCCTATCATAATAATAACAATAATAACAGTAATAATAAGGTAACAACTTAATTATTATGTTGTTATCTTCTATTAGGCGAAAGAAGAGGTCTCGTTCCAGATCAAAGAGTAGAGAGAGAAGTCGGAGATCACGCAGTCGAGAAAGAAATAAGGAACGCAAGAGATCTCGCAGTAGAAGTGTTGAAAAGGGAAAAGACAAAACTAGCAAGAGACCAAGAGAAAAAGAAAAAGAAAAGGAGAGAAAGAGAAAAAGATCAGCAAGTGGCTCCCCAGCAAGTGGAGCATCAACAAGCAGAAGTCGTAGTCGTAGCCCTGCTCCCAGAAAAAAGGACAAAGACAGTCAACGAAAGCGAAGATCTCGCAGCAGAAGCTATGAAAAGAGAAAGAAGGAAAGGCCTCGTAGTAGGGAAAGAGAAAGAGATAAGGAAAGAGATAGAAAAAGACGTTCAAGAAGCCGCAATCGTTCAACTTCTTCTGGTTCACGATCTAAGAGTAAAAGTCCTGAACAAAAAAAGTCTAAGTCAAGGTACAGTACTGTTCAAAAGTAAGTTGAAAGTCTATTACAAGTCTCAACTTGACTTGATTTCAAAACTTGATTCCCGCACAAATCAAGAATTGAGAACAAAATATCGAGGATCAAGTTGAGAATTAAGTCTTGCAAGACGGGGAACATTAAATTCACCAATAACTGATTTCTGAATTTCTTTTTACTTTGACATACAGTGTAGCACAAAACGTAACTTTTGTATCTTACTCAGGAATGAAATTTTTTGGACTGTGCTTTTTTGTTATCATTGAATTTCTTTGATTTAGTCTCTTGCTTTTCTATGATAGTCGAGACAAAAGAAGACGAGATGATGAGGACAGCTCGGATAGAAGCAAGGACACTAAAAAATCCAAAGAGGTAAGTGAATTTTTGCACTACTTTCTCTGGTGTTTTATCCAAACTGTAATAGGTAGGTGGTGTTTGACCTTAACAATCTTGGGCCAGCCAGTTTTTGAATTCACTGGTCAATAAACATCACCTGATACAAAGCTTGACCCCGAATCACTTCCAGATCATTAGTATAATAGTTACTAAAACAGTGGATAGTGTTTTTCGCGCACTCTTATTGGCTACTCAAAGTTGGGATATCCAGTGCTATTAACTGATTCACCTCCAGCTCCTCTGAGCAAGCAACGCCAAACTCGTGTAAGTTTCGCGCAAAATGGTTTCCCGGTTTGCTGCTGTAACAAACAAAGAAATTTTAATCACAAATAATCAAACTAGCTGTTCTGAAATATACGATGAAGGTGACAAAATTTGGTTTTTGGAAGCTTTAACAGGTAAAGCTTTGTCTGTTTGACTTGAATTTTTTTATGAAACCGGTGGAAAAGTTTTTTGTCTACAAATGCAAATTAAGTCTTGCATTGGTTTATTTAGCTGACTTCATAAATAAACTTAACACTAAATTTAATAGTTTTTTACAGAATGGTTTCAAATGCAAGAAGAATTCATAATTCTCCACAATAGCTAAACAAATGCCTTTAAAAGTTTTATCTGTCGGCAAGAAAACATGATGCCCATTCAGTCATTTGCTTGTCAAATGGTAATCATTGGCAGCAGTAAATGAGTTCAAAACCATAATTTTTGTGCTCAATAATCTCTTTAATATTTTAAAACAATAATATTCACCTCAGTGTTGGTGGCTAGTGGTGGGTAAATATCCACCACTAGCCACCTCCACTTTCGTGAATAATTTTTATTTGTCGGTTAACCCTTTAAACCCTGGGAGTGATCAGTATGAAATTTCTCCTTGAAATATCAATGCTTTATAAAACAGAGTGGGTATGAGACTTGAGGGCATGATCACAGAAGATGAATCTATTTAATACTTCAACAAATTCTCCGTATTTCCTCTACTGAAAACATATTGGGGACAACAAAAGAGGGTTTTAAAGGCTTAAAATGCATGGACTTTTTCTCACCTTGTACATGTATTTCACTTGTTTCTTGCCCTAAAAGTAGTAAAATCCTCAAAATAAATCCTCCTTCATTTTTAATTGCTTCCTTTTCAATAATAGCCTATTGACAAGGGGCTCTTCATATTAAATTAGCAACAGCCTAATTTTGACTGGTCTTGGACAGTGGATTACTGCTATCTGCTTATGATTGAGCACTAGTATTGTACAGTGTAGTTATAAGTGTTTATGATGCATCTTGCTAACAGATGCCTAAATATTTTCTTTCAGTCAAAGAAAGATACCACAAGCTCAAGTGTAGAGGAAAAAAGTGCTGAAGATGACAAGGTACCCATACAACCATAATAAAAACCCAAATCAGTAGTGCAAAATTCTCCTAAATGAGAAATCCCAATTGCTAGCTGTCAGCACATGCATTATTTTTGTTAGGTATATTGGTGACAGGGAATCCTGAGTTAGAAGCTTGGTGCTATAAGGTCTGGGCTTACCCAAATTAGACTTTACTGCAAATGCCAGGGCTGTCATTTAAGAGACAGGGGCTGGGGATTCCTCCTGGCTACTAAGAACGTGGCCCCTGGCTACTTCTAGGGAAAATAGAGGAAAAATAGAACCAAAAGAAATCCCTAGCTGTTTGATTCCCCGCCTACTTGTTGTATTTGCCCGGCAACTTGAAATCTTAGTGACAGCCCTGAAATGCATCAAATGTAAAACAGATTTCTATGGCTGTTGTAGTTAACTTACTGGCACTTTCAAGAAACAGGGCCCTGGGCACTGTTAAATCTAGATTGTATCCCTCAGCAGAACCCTATGTGTGTGTGTCTAGCAAAGTCATAACTTATTATTCATTTTTGGACTGCATTAGTTCAATGTTGTGATACTGATTGTATGTTAGGATGCAGAGCAGAAAAGACTTGATGAGGAGATGCAGAAGAGAAGAGAAAGGTACTGCTGTTATTTTAGTACTATTCAAGTGAAAGGAACTTTGCCACCACTTGTAAAAGTGCTTTAAATAGAATACGTTCCACCTCTTCAACAGTGTAAGCTCATGTGGCGTATATTACGTAGTGAGCTAGCTTTATCCCTGTTATGCAAGCTAACACAGGTTTGAGTCTCTGCTAAATCAAACAACATGTAGTTTTTTTGTTCCTGCTTTTTTCCTCTTCACTCTATCCCTCTTCATTCCTACTGTGGGCCCTTTTCCTTGACCTTGCAAGGTTTGGTAAGAAATTTCTTGTATTTTTTTTTTGATGAGGACAGGACGGGTGCCAGTGATATCAATGCCAAAGCCAGACCCTTCCCAGCACTCTGTGCTATGTTTTTTTTGGCTGCCATGTTGAGTACACTGTAGAAGTAAAATTTTAATTTTGGCGACTAAAATTGGTGCAAAGTTGCCATGATTTTATGATTTTATGTTTTTATTTTTAGAGTTAATGGTCTTTATGTAATGGTGAAAGAAACATTTGCGTGAAAACAAATTTTATTTAAACTCCTCTGGATCTGAGTATTAAGTCTTAAGATGTAACATGCACCTCCAAATTGCTAGTTGGGCAGCCATTTTGATTGCTTCAAACATTTCTCGTAATATTGCACAAAATGTCCTTTTTTGTGTCAACTTGCATTTGGCCATTGCATTTATAAATGGTGTGAGCATTTCTTTTACATGTAGCAGGCTGTTGCTTTTGGTGGTCTATGATACTTACCAGTACATTTTGTTCATGCCAATGAAATTATCAGGATAGAGGCATGGAGAGCCCAGAGAAAGAAAGAACAAGAAGACAAAGAACAAACTGAAGCTGCAAGCGAAGAACAGCAAAAGAAGAAAAAAGCGTGGAGTTTGGAGGATGACGATGATGATGATGAGGAGGAAGAAGAGGAAGAAGTGCAAGTTAAGGAAGAGGAACAGGTCTGATTAATCTTAAACCAAATGTTTTGACTTCTGTAACATTTTTATTGAGTATCATTCTGTAATTCTACTTACAAAAGCATTGCTTTGATTTAGGACCTTTCATAAGCTGAGTTGCTTTGTAGTTATTTATTTATTGTTAGATAATTTCTTGGTGTGTGTTCTTGCTTGGCTGCTTCTTATTTGTATGCT